TAATTGGCGCCACGTAGCGAAAAGAAGAAACGACTGGCGCGCTGTTGTTAACTCGGCTATAATCGCGTAAGCGGTGACTACGCCAATCAAGAAGAATATGAAATTTACGTACTTTAGATGAAACACACACACCTATCCACATACTTAAAACATATATATGCATATATGTACAACCTTAAGCGTTTATTACTCACCTCAGCCCACATGCAAACGATGAGTGATGCGCAGGTCATTAACATCGGATAATATGCAGACATCAGTGTGATGGCCCATTGTGGCTGTAAATCCAACTGCAATAAATGAAAAATATGACAATTAAAACAATAAATTATTATATACTTCAGCGCGTTGGCTTACCGGTGTCGTAAAGAAGGCACCGCGCAGCGATGATGCCACGAATACCAGAAAGTATAAGACCTTTTGTGTTGTAAGCCGACAGGCGCGCAATATCGACGGCTGTTTCAAGCGCTGATACTCGGCCACAATGCAGATGCAGAGCTGCACGACGGACACCAAAGCGACAAAGTAGAAAACAGCCGAGATGCCAGCGTAATATGGCAAATTGAAGCCACTACACTCATCACCGGCATAACGGATCTCGCAAAGGCATGTGCCATTCAGACAGTCGCCGCGTCCCGAGCAAGCGGCAATATTGGGATCGTCATCGTTGATGTTAAAGCGTGAGGCTGGTGAATTGGATCCACCAACACCGGCGGCAAAACCAGCACCGCCGCCGCCGCCATTGCGGCCACCCACAGGTGCTGATGATTGCAATACGCTCGAAGAGCACCGCATTAATTTGTGAAAATTGGATAGCATTCTACGTCAAACTACCTGCAAGTATATAGAAAAAAAATTATTATATAATATATTTGATAATGATTTCTTTAACACATGAACTAAAAAAGATATTTATTTAACATTAGTAAAAAATTTTATGACAATATTGGCACATTGATTATATTATATGTATATATATTGGTTAAAATGTTGATCAAATCTCAAGATAAAGTTGTCATAATCAATAAGTAATAACTTAACTTTTTGTTTGAACAATGATTTAGCGTAATTTGCAATAAGTTGCAAATTTTTTTAACAAACTAAAACTAAACATAAAAAATGAATAGGGGTATTCAGACCAGTTTTGTTAATTCGTTAGTTGTTCTCGGTAATTTTTTTACGTAGGTTTTGTTCTTGTAAAATTACCAGATTATCTTTTTACAGAGTAACGAAGTACCAGACTGGCAAGCATGATAGTTTTTTCGTTACTTGGTAACATCACTCAGCTGTTTTGTTTGCGTTGTTGCCTCAAAAGTTAACTTAATTCATTGGGAAAAAATACATTTGCTGTCTACTACAAATTAGTTTCTGAAAAATTTTTCAAAAGTAAGTATTTACTATAACTGAATGAGCTGTTTTGAAATAAAAT